GGCGAACTGTGATCAGAATTGATTACTTCAAGTGATGTTCGTCAGGGCTGTACACTTCCTCAATTCTTGTTTAAGTTTGTCATTGACGTTCTTTTAGATACGACATTTTGTTCGTCTGACACTTTAGGAGTTGAACTTTCATCAGGAGATTCTTTGAATATGCGATGACATCTTTCTACTTGGTGAAGACACTGACAAAATGCAGTCTCCTAACCACCTTAAGCAAATATGTAAGCATGTTCGGCATGCGATTGTTCACGCGGAAATGTAAAATATTGCTTCAGGATTGTCTGGCGACGGCGTCTGAACTAGTGATAGGGAGTGAAGTGGTTGAGCGTGTTGACCGCTGCACGTATCTTGGGAGTTAGTCTGGTGACTGACGAAATCTCAGAACGGATACAGTAGTCTCGATTGGATTTTGCCAACTTGCGTCACTTACGGCGTACGCGAGATATCCGTTTGCTAACCAAAGGTCGAGTGTACTGCAGAACAGTTCGCTCTGTCCTACTTTATGGGTTAGAAGCATGGCCAGTAAGTGTAAAAGATATTTGTAGGTTACTAGTATTAGATCACAGATGCCTTAGAATAATTGCTCCTATATCCTAAGACCATGAAGTAAGCAATGCTGTCGTTAGGAACGAATACTAGATAAGGATGGCAAATCAATTGATGAAGTGGTGAATCTTCGTCAGTTGAGATGGTTGGGTTATGTGTTACGTAAGCTCAGCCATCAGCTGCCTCGAGGAGCAATATTTTATAGTGAAGGGGTATGTTGGACGACTGCTAGAGGTGATCAGACGAAAACATGGCAAAAACCTATGAAGTCACTGACAAGTGGACTGACCATGTAGGTAGGTGTCGACTATCTGGTTGGGGCCAGTAAGATGATAGTAATGGATGGTTAGAGACCCTAAATGACATGGCTCAAAACCGTTTGCGATGGCGCTGGTGAGATCATCCCATGTGTTCTCTCAAATCCTAACCTTCAGAGTTCCTCATCATCTTTATCTTTTTATTTTTAAGTTTATTACACTATATTCTACTTCTTGGAGAATATCCTCAAACCCTGATCTTTTCGATTACTGTTAATACTTCTACCACCTCTACTACTATGGGATTCGGATTGACGATCACTTCTCTGTGCTAATGTGGTATAGCAGGTTGAACTAATGTACATAAGTACGAAGTTCTACGTTGTAATTGACTGACTGACTGTGTAGTATTTGTTATATTTTCAGTGTGATATTTTATTCAGTATGGCATTTACTTATTTCGGTATGGTGTTTATTAACAATAAGATATTCGTTTTATCGAATTGACGTGAACTACGCACAGAATGATATATTTGTTATAGTTCTGGGCATTTTTCATAAATTTAACGTTTTTCTAATTAATAATCCACTAGGTACACAAATCAGTATATAAATGAGTGTATTCCTCGTCGTGTTTTGAGATCAATCAATACTCATTTGTATCAGTCTTTTGTGTTCTTACTTTTTGTAAGGGGCTTTCTTGTTTTCAATTATAATTAATGGATGATGTGGTTATAATAAAGGTACTAGAAGCTTGCTTCAATTTATGATTCAAAATATATGGAGAAAAGAAAGGTGAAATCTTGATCTCTTACCCTATTTCAAAATTCAGTTACGGAAGCCTGTTACGTTACTAACACTTCTATTTTTTTTGATGATAAGGCTTTCTTCCTAGTATCGAACTTAATCCCCTCCATGAATAACAGTAGTATGAGGATAATAATTACAAAGACAACCATAATAGATGATCCTTGGTAGCTGTAAGTAGGATCGAAGAAATAAATGTTAACCAAGATGTCTAATCTTTAAGTGACCATAAATAATTCCCAACGTACAGTAAAGTTGAGTAACTGTTATTGAGAGGCTAGTGCTGTTCTAGAAAACGTTTAGAAAATATTAAAATCTCGTTAATCGTTGGAACAGTGAAGCAGTATACGAATATATTGAAAAGTTCTAATCAAAACATTTTGCAGATAAAAGTATTCCACCGGCATAAAATATGTATAGTAAAACATTGTTCCAAAAATACGGGAAGTCATCTAGATCAGTCAGTGACTGTATTGTAGTCTATAACCTATTATGACGCTGGATGTATGGGGAAGAGAATGAAGAAAGACTAACGAAAGTCTTCTTCTATAAGCCAACCTGAAGTCAACACAAAACAAGAATTTACTACAACCCTTCGACCACTTTCTTTCATCACACAATATGGCTTATGGAGATTTTCTTTCAATAGTTCGGTTAAAACAGTACTTTTTTAAGTAAGCATCTAAGGTTTAATATTTACTGTGAATTCAGTGGACAACGTTTGAGTAGCTCAATAGCGAATTTCAAGAAACTCGCCAGCTTACTAGAATAGAAAGAGGGTCTAAATTAGAGTGAGGATCTAGAGTGGGATCTAGAATTAGAATTCCGGGTTTTTATCACGAACTAACAACAGCTATAATACCAAAATGTCATTTAAACATATGGATGAATGAATATCATGCCGAAATCCAAGACCCGCAATATTAGGTATGATTGGTTTGTTCAAAAATTATGTGCCCCTCACAATTTTCGAGTTCACAGTAGATAAATGAAATAAATAAGTGACAATGTGACATTAATTCAAGCCAATGTTTTTGTGTCACCCCAACCTCACACTAATTCATCATCTGAAATCCCCAACTTCTTTTCTTACATACAGTTTAGTAGGATAAATCGAACTAGAAAAGAGAATTTTCAAAGTTCTGCAGTTGCATTGTGATTTGCCAGGTCAACCAATTTAGACTGTTAAAATGAATACTAATCTAAGATAACAAACAAATGTAGTTCCATATAACAAAAAAGTTTAGTTGAAAGAGATAATTTCTCATTAACTTATTCAAAATGGAATTGGCTGATCTTTCAGTTCACTGTTACTTCCAAGTGATTTTTTAATTAGCTTCGGTCAGTATGTGAACTTCATCTTGAAAAACCGAAAGTACTGTAATCCTACTGGACCAGTATTACAAAGAATTTTTTGTAGTTTATTCGTGTACTTATATTGACAGAAAGAAATTAAAGTCCATTAATATCTATACATATGTATACGAAGTAGTTTGTAATTAGGGATTTTCAATAGCAAAGTACCTAAAGAGCCTACAGATGCCAATGAAATTGTACGTTTCTAAAATCCTACCTGATAAAACATACTAGTTGATTCTGAGCTCTGAAGTCGACAAACACATTCCTCTTCATAATCTACGATTTCTATCCCGCTAATAAGAACATTCGTTTTTCATACTTGTATTAGTCACTAACATGTTTTGAAAATTCATAGAACAAAGTTTCTAAGTTACTACCTAGTCTCCGTTAAGACCATGAAATAAAACCACTTGGGTTATATAAACTTAGACACTGGAAAAACGACGTTGAATGTTTGTTACGAGTTTGATTGTTTTTAAAGCACTAATGGATCTTTCAAAACCACTTGGTAAGCAATTTTCGCATGACAGGTACGTTCCGTTATGTGGTTTAGTATAGCAAATCAATGAGTATTGTAAGTTTAATTTTATTTGCACTAATTCGTATTAATATCATAGCACAAATCTATTCTGTTAAGTTCAAAGTCGGAATGAGTACTATTCTTTCCATACCTTGTTTACTGTATGATTATATCATTACCGATTCATGTTATTTCAGAGCCACATTGAGCATCCGATTGGATAACATACTTCAAAGACATTATTTGTGACAGAGGGGAAGTTAGAATAATTAAGATATAAACAGGAAAATGTGGCACAAATCTTGAAATGTTGTGTTTAGGACACGGCAACACCGAAAATCCACAAGACATTAGCTCAATAATGATGAACGAAATAGACAAAACATTCGTCGTGAACAAATTTTTACTGCTTCTATGAAACCAACGTCGAATATATAAACATATTATCCTTTGTTAGTGCTCATTATTTGAATTTTTAGATTTCTTTAGGAGGCTGAAGACACGTCTAGAAAGTAAAGAAGCTAGTGTTCGAGGTTGCGGTGCCACTTAGGCAGGTACCAGTTGTGCAGGATGGAAATCGTCTTACCTTAACGTTCTAGAGAGGTTTAGGTAGGAGTCTCATGATGGAGATACATGACGCCTATGAAATACGTAGAAGTCAATGACTTCTCAGTTAGCGAACGACACATACTTTTCGTTTCCGTAGAAAGATATTAGAATTTGATTATTGTCAAGAAGAGTCTATCATAGAATCTCCATTTGAGGAGCGAACGCGCTAGAGCACAGTGCGAAACTCCAGAATTAAACCGAATATCATAGCCTAAGCACAACCTCTCCTTGAACCAACAAATAAATGAGAAACTTAATTCTACGAATGACACAACCACACTTTACATGATATATGGACACAATTGACCTGAAAAAGACAATCACTAACTCGAATCTAACATACAAGTCACCACCCAGTCAACAAGGAATTCGCGAGCGATCATGGTTTTCGAAAGACAATTTTATGAGACGTATTTGGATCTCCACACATCTACAATCTAGTCCATCAGTGAAATGCGCAACCCATACGACCTTAGTTAGTGAGAAACAAAATTAAGCCGCTTTATACCCAAAAACCTTGTGAACATAATTGTGATAGGCTGACTAATCCTGCTCAACTCGATATCTCATACGAGTTCATTGTTGGTCTATAACACATTAATGTGCCAGATGAGCACATCATAATCACGATAGCCACTTTTATCTGAGACGTTGAGCTTAATCTTACTACAAACTCACTAAACAATACCGCGGTAATAAATTAAATAGCTACGTTAAAATGACTATAAAGTGTGAGACGCAACATCAGCAAACAAAGACGGTTAGAACTCGCAGACCAAACTACTACGCATGAAACTCCAATAATCGGTAGACTATCTACGCAGATTTGTAAAAAAACTAACCCAAAGTTGAAACAACTACAATAATGGGTCGATGAAGGTAAACAACAGAATCCCAGTAAAAATCGTCACTGTATTTTAAGACAGTACAATGATGGAGTAACAACAATTCATATCAATCAGAAAAAATGACAAATATACAAATTTAGAAGAATAGAGTCCTAGTAAAAAAAACAGAAAAGTGTTCTCACCCCCACTGTCCCATCCTACAGTTCATCGTGGTCATCAGATGACTCGTCCGACGATTTTACATCGTCTGAAGGCTCTTCTGGTTCCTTCGGTTCTTCCGTTTCCTCTTTCACATCATCTTTTGCACTTGACTGATCTTTAGCAACCTCAGCATCATATCGCTTTCGCCACAGCCGCTCACCTTCTTTCTTAGCGAAGTCCGGACTGTCAGTAATCAAAATGTTATCAAAGATAGATCCTGAGTCAACCTGCCACAGATCAAAGCCGACATAACCAATGTCGTTTTGGACATACAACTCAGGATCGGGTTTGTATTTTGGATTGTCAATTTGCGCAGGTTTCCACTCCCCTTTGTATTTTGGATTATCTATACGCCTTGGGGACCATTCACCCTTAAATTCGGGATTATCTTTTTGGGGACGCTCCCACTCTCCATCCATAGCATCATCCCAGTCATCTGGTTTCTTGGCATCCATATCAGGTATTGTTTTAGGCTGGTCCCAGTTATCAGGTTTCTTGTCATCCGGATCATCGATAAATTGTTCGTCTTCCCAGTCATCAGGTTTTTTGTCATTCGGATCCTAAAGGCTTATAAACTATATAACAATCTTACGTCAATCTTTTTGGGTGGGAGCATTTCCCAGTCATCTTCTAACGATCCTTCTTCAACCTTTACATTGTCAACTAAAACCTCGTATTTGTTATTCGGATTCACAATTAGAGTGTAAAGGTGGGTTTTTAGATCATCTTTGCAAGGTATATCCTTTTTGATCAGGTGATTTTGACCGTTGTAGTTAAAAATGACGTGAATCCTCTTTGTAGCCAAACCGCAAATATCAGGACCTGAAACCGGAATATGAAACAAATTAACTGATTACCAAACATAATCTTATAAGGTGTTTCGCCATGGAAAGTTTTGGGATCAATGTCTGAACCTAAAAGTTTAATATAAGCACCGCCGCAGCTGACAGTTTTGTCGAATTTGACAGTAAATTGGAGAACCATTGTCTTGTCACGATTACTGAACGGTTCAGAAATCTTGCGTGCAATGCCATAAAACCTGGCGTCTTGTGTTGTTTTCAAACCCAAATCTTCAATTGGGTCAACTGGAGATTTACCAGCTTCTACTTTGAATTCTCCTTGCTTATCGGCATTATATGTTGATTGTACCCAATTCTCAATAGATTCTAAAATTATCGATGCGTTAAAAGCTATTAGTTGAACAACATACCATCCGGAAAAGTTTCGGAAAACCAAATTTCATGTCCCAGCGCATAGCCTGAAAGGCACAAGGCAAAGATGAGAGAAAACATCATCTCAACCAATTTAGTTCCAATGGTCAAATCGTGATCGCAAGATTTATATAATAGGATTGTGACCAATCACATAACTCCACAAAAATGTTAGCAAACAGTTTTACAACATTTAAACAATATCAATATAATACTCTTCAGTTTATCTGAATAGAAAACGTTATTGACTTTGAAAATTAAATAATTCATAAAATCGTTTATTAGGCATAATTCTATACACTGCGACAGATTTTAATTGAGTTTCGTTACGAAATGTCGCTTTTCGATTGCGAAACGAGGAAAACTAACTGACACGTGTTTCCTCTGAATATGCGCAATTAGTAGAATCCTCTTTCACAAGAACCAGTCAGATTTATTTCAAGTGATACTTTCCAAAGACTGTTTGGTGTCTACATCTCAATCTGTGGTTTGTTGGAACGAAAGGATTTTTTGAGCCCTAGACGAATCACCCAGCAAGCTTATAGATTTCTACATTAGATGGCAGATGGCTAAGAGTTGAGCGACGCACCAAGTCCACCGACTTGAAGTCTATGTGTTGCAGATGAAACAGTGAAACTACCCGGTTTTGCCCACCTGAACGTGACTTATCTCCATAATTTTCTGACCGATGCTTCTCCGAAGACCCTATATTTTTCAGACAGTTCCCTCGAAAGACGATCCACGTTATTATCAGCACAAGGAAAGTGGGGTTCGCGGATGACTGTGAAGCTTCGCTTCAGTGAAAGCCAGAATTTTCATCCAACTTGAGTAGTCCTTTTATCGAAATCGAATATTAACATCGGTTGTACATAGATTTATACCAATGCATGAGTAAATAAATAGCAAAATAAATAGATAACGGTTTGGATGGCCTCCTACTTACTCAATAAAAATCTGAAGATTTTCGTCAGCCGGATCAGAACAAGAAAAACTAACACATCATCTGGTGTAGGTCTGTAACCAAATTCCCATGTCCGATGACTATATGCTGAAGCCCTCACAGTTTCCACCATTGTACATAAACTCTTTAGACAATTTATCAGGTAAGTACTAAGTAACTGCCTTCAGGCGCTGGAACCCTGACAGTTTCTTGCACAACAATCATTAGCATGGTTGTTCAAATGTGGAGTTAGGTCGATCTATTTTGATACGACCGAAACGCATAATTCAACATGAAATTACTAACGCTCTTTGTGAACTAATTAACCTACCCAACTGTGTGTGGAATGTACCCCTAGATTCAAAACAGGATCACTCAGTGGTATCACGAACTTGACATATGTGCTATCAAATTCCGCACTGAATGATGATAGTAGTAGCTATATCCACACTTGGCGTTACTTAGTAAGGTAAAGTAACAGCATGAACCTTACCAAGCAAATCGAATCTGAGATATTCAAAGAAAAACATCTAACAGGCTTCACAATGATAAAATTCAGCACGTCCTAAACCAGAAATGCATAACAGCTATTCTTGAATATGTGGATATAGTTCACAGTAACTACAGGCACTATTATTTGAAGAAAACTCAAGGCGTTCACAGAAGATTCATCAAAGCTCTGCTGAGGTACCCCATTAATATGGACTATCAACAGGATGTCAAAAAACTGAATTTGCAACGTTATGATGATAGGAATTTGTTATAATTCCTAAATTTCTTCTTCTGCTCCTCCCACTAACCTTTCCTGGATAACGCCAAAAGGGGACTAACACTAAAGCTGGTAGAATGCATGTCTGTGTAGGCTGTAACCAATGTTTGAATATCCATGCTCACAGAAGCGTGACAATAATAAAAGTACAAATGTATAGACAAGTTGTTACTGTTCGAATGATGCTATCTGTTGAGTTGTTGAACCATAGTAATCAAATTAAACGTGAACAGACTGGAATGTATTTGAGGTGCTCCAAAGTTTTTAGATCAGGTGCAGTAAGTTACATCCTGTCGTCATATACTGGCGTAGAAACGGTGCTTATCACTCCCTGATATCCACTCCTTCATATTCTATCATACAGCCTCATAGCCTGCGCAATAAGGAAAATATATTTTCTCTTCCTACAAAACTTACATCAGAATCTTTTCGTCATTCGCTATTCAGATATGTAAAAGCAACTACCAGAAGGCCTCTGTTTATCAGTTCAAGAATGTTATTACTGATTTACTCTTTAAAAGCGGTTTGTGTATCTAGCTATATTTGAAAATTTCAAAGATCCGGCCAACTTCACTACATAATTATTATCACCATCATTAGCCACTAACACCAGATTTAACGAATGGTTATATAAATAATTCAAAAACAGCATCGACTATTGTAAATTTGGTTGTGTGCACATTTACTTGCTAATTACGTAACAATAATGACAATAATGAATAGAAGTTGAAATAAGAAGCTGCATGTCTGTGAATTGTAATCAAAACTATTCAGGAAGAACAGGAAAGTTTATGAAAAACATTGATAATTATACTGTTCGATGACTAAAATGTGTCCACCAAATACCAACCTATAAGTCATGCTAAAGTTCCTGAACAGGTTTGTCGCATTTCTCAGTATTGAGCTTCAAGGCTCACACCAGCTATCCAGCATTAAATTTCGATTGTCACATCTGTTACTTCCATAGATCAAGTCCAGGTCATGAGAGTAAATGTAGGACTGACCTGTGTTGGAGCAAATGTACATGATGTTGAAGTAGAATATGAAAAGTAGTGAAACCAGGAGATTTCTCTGAAAAAAGCCACCGATCACTAGTCGAAGAGTAAAAATAATAAAGATAATTTATTCTAAAATAACAACATGTTACAAGAGGCATGCCAGATTACAGGCAAGAACAAAATATTATGATTGCTAACATATTTTTTGTAAAAGTTATCTCAGTTAGACAAATATTTCTCCACTGAACACCCCAAACATAGAAGCGGCGCACACAGAGCTCTCTACAGATGCTGCCGTACCAACAATAGACGAAATCAGCCATCCTATCAGACCAATTATTGGTGGTTAAGCAGAAGTCAACTCTAGTTGGAGACCCACTGGGATTAATGACTATCTTAGGCCTGGATAAGAGAGGAGGTTTGAGCGTGGAGTTAGCGACCCACTAACTAACTCGCCAATAAACGATAAGGAGAAATTATAATTTGAACCATTTTTACTCTACTTTGGGAACTAGAAGTTCTTCATTCAGAAGAGTTATGACGTCTCATGATAAAAGCCGAGTTACTTAGGAATTCACCGGGCAAAAACTCTTCTGACAACCAGGTAAATGGAATGTTCGAACAATGTGAGAGATCGGAAGACTGTTCCAATTGGCCACAGAGATGAAAAGATACAACCTAGAAGTGGTTGTAATCAGTGAAACACATTGGACGCAGGTTCCGACAAATAAGATTTAGTTCTGCTCCAGCTCCCTGTCCTTCCTATTTCCAAACTACCTATTAACTGACTCATCTTACAAATCATACCATTCGTTTACTTAAAATCAGTGTGATATGCTATGTGGATATATTTTATGGTAAAATTGTCTGGATTGCTTGTAATGTTGGAACTAGTAGAGAATGTTAATTCCAATAAGGTGTACAAAAAAAAAATGAGATTAGACTAGAGACCATTATTTACAATCAACCATTAAGCGTAAGAGAGCCTAACATCACAAAAGGAGGGAGGGTGGTGTATCTGACCAGCATTCATGACGGTGGGGCGATAACCTCAATCTACCCATGTCTGTGTGGCAGAACATTTTGTTTGCTTACGGCTCCTTACGATATAGCAGGATGTAACAAATCAGTGATATTGATGTTACTTTTCCTAGTTAACCTCGTCTACAACCCATGTCTGTAACCTTGCACTGGTTTTTACTTCCTACCGAGAAATCCTATTACAAGCTGGTCTGGACAACTATACTAAAAAAGAGCTCATTCATAACTCCTTGAGCCTCAGATTTAAAAATAAAAAGAATAAATAAAACCAAAAAATTATATCACTGATCCTCTTTATTATATTTTGTAACTCAACTTTATTACTGTAGAATTTTTTTGAATGTTTTGTGTTTTTGGAAAATCCCTCCATGTTTACATATTTTTGCTATGACATGATGGACTTTTTCTCTTGACATTTTTGGTATTTTATTTGATTCCAATTTGAGATTTTACCATTGTATATTGTTATTCTTTCTATATTTTGTACTTATATTGAAGTTTTTGTGTTTGCTTCTGAACTGTACATATATTGTTTAAATCTGATATAATATGGCTACCGCCACATTTTTGGATGGACGCGGTGGCTGCTGGACTTAGTGTCACTTACTAGCTATTGTACTGGATACTCTACGGAGTAATTTAGTCCTGGAAGAAACAAAAATACCGTAAGACTCTGTATTTCCATTTTATAATAATAAAGAGACGTTTTCTCCTAGAATTTTGCCCTTTTGATTTGGCTGGGACCTGGATCTAGGAGTAACGTACAGGAGTGTTTCTATTGGAAACAATTAGGACAGCCACTGGCGAAATAAATCTACAATTACTAACAACTTGGTTCTTCTGAATTTCCTCGATTCTTTCGACTAACTTCTCATTAGTTATCTCACTACTGAATTGTCTCATTAACCTACATAAGCGCAGATGTAAAGTGTTCTGATATTAAAAATGTTTGGGTAAACATACCTTTGTTTTATCCCTAAACGTATGTGCGAAGCCGTTGTTCGGCTTTGAACTTGAATATTTTCTGTTCTGCTCCTCGTCCCGTTTTCTTTATTCCTCTTTTTTCAGAACCTTATTCCAATCCACATATATTTGTCTGGATATTTGCAGTAGACTTGGTTACCCTAGCCAAGAACATGTGAAATCATTAGCTGACGAATATCAACCAGACTTTTGTACATTTACCGCATCAATTCTTGTTATATGAAAACCTGTCTGTACCATAAATCATTTCCCAGCCCATAAGATGATTGTCGTAACGCAACCTTCGTAACTTGCGCCAATTGATCGCTTTGTACATTCCAACTTTAAGAAAACAATGAATCTTATGAAATGTTTCAGTAACATTATACCGTTTTAAAAAAAATATGTTGCTAATCTTAACATTTTGATCTTGCCTGTAAATTGGCATGTCTCTTGTAACATGTTTGTTATTTGAGA